AAACACACAAATCATGCTGAAGACATTACAAGACTTGCTTACCAGGAGCGTCTGTTCAGACCAACTACTCATATACTGAATAAAATTGACTAAAACTGCAGATGTTCAAGATAAATAAAATTAGTTAACATCTTAAAATGAGCAGACAATGCTCACAACAGTCTTTTAACACAGCTACATGATTTGAGCCTCATTTGTGCTACCCATTTTAGCACAGCTTAGAACAACTACATTTCATTCATTGATTTAATAATATTTAATAATACAGCATTACTTTATATGCCCTATTAAAATTTCAGCACAAGTACATTACATTCAAAGCTCACTAAGGAAAGTACCATACGAGAAAAGATAAAAGTGTTACACAATGGCCCAAAAGTGATTCTATCCTCAGACAATAGGCAGAGAAAAAGACTCTTGTCTTAGTAATTCCCTCTGCATATTCAAGTCATTTTTGCAAGCAGTCACCAGAACACGAATACAAGGTATCAAATTTATCTTCCAAGAGATAGATAGATAAAACAGGAAGCAGAAATCAATTTGATTGAGGCATGGTATGGTATGAAGGAGCTATGTATAAAGCAGTGGACAGAAAGAAATTAATTTAAAAAAAAGAAAGAAAAAAAAGAGACAAGAGCCAAGTTAAAGAATTCATTGAAAATTCGGATTACTAAATGTACACATATTTACAATACCTTTACACTCACTAAGACTAATTATCACTATTAGTTCATCAAACATCCAAGATATAACATTTGTCTTTGTCATTGTAAGAAAAGTTTAAAATTCACTGACATTGTACGTCATCACCACTCAGTGTACTGGGTCCTTGGTGAATAAACTCAACATGTGATACCTCCACTTTTATAAATGACAGTATCACAGGCTATTTCCGTACACCTCCACATTTGGGGGTGATAATTAATATACTGGCAGTGCAATAGCTTTATAGCTTTAGTCACAAATATTAGGTGTGAATATCAGCTACTCAACATCCAAATGAATCTGGTAATCAGACTGTGCAAGCTTTGCTAGCGTCTTTTTAACTCTTAATGATGACAGGCGAACATGTGACTTATGGTGCCAGCACTCTTTCATCAGTTTGGCCATGCCAGTGAGAGTCTGCAAAGCAAGGAACACTATGATAGAGACAAGTAATTTTCTTTTAAAGTAGAATACAATGGTAGAATGGAAGCTTACCTCATCACATAACCATCGATTAGGAATAGTGGGACGCTGGCCATCTGAACATACCACTTTCTTCATATCCTCAAAACTAGGATCAGAAGGCACCAATCCACCAAATGGAGGTAGGTAGTCTTCTGCAATCCCATATGACATTGTCCTTCGGCAAACTTCCCACAGCACCAAACCAAAAGCATAAATGTCTGCTCTTTGAAAAGCTTCAAAGCAATCCATATTTATCCTGGAAAACGCAAAGAAGAGAGCAATGTATTTAAGGACCACATAGTTTGATATAGTTCCACTCGCTAAATGTAGACACGTCGGCATCCCTCTAAACCCGAGGCCCCATTGCAAGCGTCATTACGATGCGTGGGGCCCGGTCCCTGGCCCCCACCCGACCCATAGCTAGACCTGCCAACATCTTTTCATACGGAGAGCGGAGGCGGGTGAAGCAGGCGCGGGTGTCTTCGTCAACTCTAGGCCGAGGGATCGACCCTCGTAATGAGCGTAACCAGGCCGTTTATGAGGGCGACAGAGAAGGGCCAGCGATTGTTTCGATTTCCTTTGCGTGCCGGTGTGTCTACATTTAGCGAATGAACTATACTATTCTGTTGGCAAATTTAGAATGCTGTGAATATTGTACATACGTTTCATCCAGAATTTCTGGTGCCATATAACGTTTGGTTCCAACTCGTGGGTTCGGAGCAACATCTAATTCTCCTGTAGATTGGACATGAGTAACAGCCAAGCCAAAATCTGCTATGACACAACATCCATTATCTTTTACCAAGATGTTTTTGCTTTTTATGTCTCGGTGAGCAATAGCAGGTTTACCCTTGAGGGAAAAAAATTAAATGAGGGCTCAATTTCATCATTTAGAAGACACAAAGAGAAAAGGGGAACACACTTCACGTTTTATACCTGAGTTCCAAATATTTCTGTGTGCAAATGGACAAGTCCATTAATGGCAGAAAGACAAATCTTCATCATTTGGTGGTGGTTTAGAGTTACACGATTCAGATGGTCGTAAAGAGATCCTAGCTGATGATAGTGGGTCACAAGCCATAGCTGAGTGCATGAGTTGCGTGATGTCATATCAGATCCAATGTAGCCCAAAATACTCTCATGCCGTATCAAGACAGTGCTGGATAGAAAAAGAAATTAGAGATTAAAAACTGCACAAATAAAAAAATTGAAGCTGTAAATTAAAGAAAAATGTGTCACCTGTAAATTTGAGTCTCTCTGCTCCAAGAAGCTTCATCACGGGAGAAAAATATTTTCACAGCAACCCTTTCGCCATGCCAGTATCCTTGCCATACTTCACCATACCGGCCCTTGCCAATGCATTCAGCCAGCGATATTTGCTTAGCTAATGTCCGCTGAATTAGAAGAGGTAAACCTGACCCTGAGCCAGATGTTAGAGAGTGTTCCAAATATTCCTAAAATGGTGCGAAAGTAGATTATTGTTAACTTAACTGTGTAGAAGGAATTCATAAAACTAAAATTAACTACAACTAAGTAGCATACCCTTAAAGTCGAATCACCAGCAGCTGTAGCACGGAGAAGATCATCGGAAGCATAATATGTATCAGGGTCAGTAATGGTTCGAGCGGCTTCCTGCTTGCGTTTACGATGCTTGTGTTTGAAGTATACAACAACCAGGACACCAGCAGGGAGGAGCAGGACCATTACAGGTCCCAAAATTGCAAAAATGAGCTTCCAATCGCCACTGGATTCTTCTTCACCTATACAGAAAATTAGTTTCAAACTCTCCCTAAAAATGAACATACAACCTAGATAGATAGATATACATATTACAAATTTATAAAATTTAACACACCAAGAGTTCGTATGGGACCCAGTTCAGGGAATGAACCATCATTACAGTTGTTACCGGTGCAACATTGGACAGAAAACTGTCCCGGGTGAGAAGGAGTATAGCAAGTGAGTGGTATATGGTCACTGGTTGTTAAACAGTCTCGGGTAATGGTCTCTTTTCCATCCTTGGATCGAACGCGTGACTTATAACACTAGAATCAAATAAATTTGAATAAAATTTTCTTAAGTTCTGCAAAAAAATAAAAGTCCTCAAATTATAATTCAAACTTACCTGGAGAGCACCTACACATGGAGAACGAGGCTTGCAGTCAGGGGCTTCACCCTCACAGGATAAACAGGTATACTTCCCTTTCATTTTCTGCTTAGTATCTGGAATAACAGACTTTTCTGGTAGAGCACCTACAAACTTTCCTTTAGGCACTTCGTAGCCCAGGTCCTGCTTTTTGACTAAAACAGTATGTTCATCTTCATCATCATCATCTTGGTCCTGGTCACCATCCCAGTTCCGACTGGCAGACTTCCCTTCTTGTAAGAATCCAAAACCAGCTGCTGCAGGATGAAAAGACTGAGCCTTGTCATCTTCAACAGTAGAAATTCGAGCAGCATTCTCAGTGTCAAGCATAGGTCCTCCAGCATCATGCTCCAAGCTAAGGCTAAATCCTGAAACACCAAACAAAAAAAAAAATATGAAATTACAGGGACAATCAGCTTCTGTAACAGCTGTAGTGCGTGCAATGGGTAAATTGTTAAAGGCACTTCGGATATAAGAAGTAGCAAACGTAATTACTAAAGAAATAATTGTTATATTAGTTGTTACAAGGAATAATGAAGTGGTAAACATAGATCTGATAGAGGTTAAGAGGCACCCCTAATTGTATTATCGTATCCACAACTTTCAGCAGAACACATTTCCTCTTTTAATAATGGACAGGGAAAAAAGTAAACACGTGTTATTTTTTTTAACTTTAAGAATAACATTATGTATACAAACAGGGCAACGATGCGTATGTACAAATAGGTTAGAACAGCAACGACAACAAATCATCATCAGGCATCAGTTTGCGCATTTTTCAACTAACCTTGCACTTGACACACTACCCAGAGGGATATAATCGCGAAGTATACCACAGAATACATCACGAAATCATTGGTATGTCACGTAGTGAAATTTAAAGTAGTAAAACATGGAACCATTGTCAGTGTCTCTGCAAGCACCACCGTGATCCTTCTACATACA